AAAAGAAAACAGCATTAATTTAGCACAGAGAGGTTGGGATAGAGGATGCCAAAGCCAGGAGAGAGATTAAACCTCTTCCCTTGATTGTGGAGATATCAGATGAATGACAAGTCAGATGAAAAAAAAATGGGAAATTAATTCAGAGATAGAGAAAGGAACAAGTACAGAATATGCCAGTGTTTTTTATTTTCTGGAAGTGATATTTTTTAATAAGGACATGTAAAAGATTATCATCTGTGCGTGTAGGAGAAGAAAACAGCTTTAAAGCCAAAATGGATCTGCAGAGAGGAAAAAAAAAACCCCATATCTGTTCTTTGGGAACACAATGCCTCTCTCAGAAGAATTCTGGGTATCCAAACTGGAGTTGTATTTCTTGTGCAAATCAAGGATGAAGTTCCAACGTGACAGGGACGATTTGCTCCAGTGTCCCTTGCCAGCATCTCTTTAAAAAGATGATTTGCTCTCCATCTGCCCTGCAAAGTGTGTTTATCCCTCCTCCTTCCTTCCTTCCTTCCTTCCTTGCTCCTTTCTTCCCTCCCAGCCCGTGCCAGCGCCTCCCCACCCTCTCAGGGAAGAATTTCATCCCAATATCCCACCTCAACCTCCTCTCTCTCTCTCTCTCTCCATTTGAATCCATTCCCCCTTGTCCCGTCCCTACAATTCCTGAAGGAAAAACGGAAACCTTGCAGCTGATGAGCTCTTTGTGAAATAATTCCAGCAATAATTCCACAGGCAACATTGCCCCGTGGGACCAAGGAGCAGGAGTTTATGCAGGGTGGACGATCCACTCAGCTGTGAGGGCTGGATGAGGAAAGCTGTGGCTTTGTGCACTGTGGAATGCTGAGCACGCTGGAGTTTTTCCAGAACAAATCTGGAAAATCAGAGTGAAGCTCCTCTGCCCTTTTCCATCAGCTGGGAGCCTCTTCTGCAGCAATCCTATAGATGGTGCTTGTCAGCTTCCAAGGAAACCCGAGCCTTTCCCAGAGCTCCCAGGGCAAAGCCACCCGTGGAGCTCAGGTGGGAAGGAAAAAGGGGATGCTCCAAAATAATTCAATTTCTGTGAAAAGGGGATGATCCAAAAGAATTCCATTTCTGTGAAAAGGGGATGCTCCAAAAGAATTCTATTTTTTTTTTTTAAAGGGGATGCTCCAAAATAATTCAATTTCTGTGAAAAGGGGATGCTCCAAAAGAATTCCATTTCTGTGTTCAGGAAATGGAGCCCCAGAGCTCAGCAAGGTTGTGTCTCCAGCTCTGCATCCCTCACCACTGGGGTTTAATTGCTGCTGCTGTAATTAGTGAGCTTTGCTCATTACAGTGGCGCTGCTCATCACCCTCATCCCTCCCAGCTCGGGGGTTGAGATCCTGGTTTGGTTTTTCCCAGGAAAACAAAGGGAAAGTCGATGTTTCTGGATATTTTACCCCAAGATTATCATAATAATGACTGTGTGGAGCTCCAAATCCAAGCCACACCGTCTGAGAGGAGACAGAAATCCAGAACCCTTTTCCTGGATGAGCTTCCCACCCAATCTCCAGTTTCCACTGCAATAATCCCAGTCTGGTTTCCCTGCTGGCAAACTCCAGCATGAACAGAATCATCCAGTGAGAACAAAACGGGTGGGGAAACTGGGACAATGTTCTGTCACCTCTCCCTGCACCTCCACGGGCACCTTCCAGCTGAGGAGGGACAGGGTGACACCTCCAGGTCACTGCCAGCTCCAGCCTGACCCCGTGTCCTGCTCAGTGTCACCTCCAGGTCACCCAGTGCTTCTCCTGGACCTTAAAACCATCCACAAGTGACTGCAGCTCACCCTGGGCAACCCAAGCCACTCTGAGCCATGAAAAAAAAGTCACTTTTGAACAATTGGGTGTCTCCAGCAGAGGGGTTTAAATCACCCTGTGCCCAGTGGTATTTATGGGGCAAGGCTGGCACACCCTGAGGTGGCCACTGGGCTCTCCAGCTGCCCTAAAAGCAGCCACCAGAATTCCAGGCACTCCTTTGCAAAGTCTCTTTAGAGTTGTTTGGGAAGCCCTACAGCTTCAAGAGGAAATATCCACTTCATATCCATAGTTATTAATATTAATACTCAAGAGGGAATATCACAGGCTGCAGCCTGGGGAGGGGCCAGCACCTCTTTTACATTCTTTCACTTCCAATCCTTTAAAAAAAAAAAGTGGGAAAACCTAAAGGAGCAAGTGAATAAGGATTAACACCCTGATTGCTGCCTTCAATGTCTTCTTGGGTCCCCTTGGAGGAGAAAAGTGCAGCCAGGAGCAGCATTCCCACCCCTGGCACCACTTCCAGGAGTTCCTGCACATTCTGGGAGCAGCTGGAATCCCCAGTCCCTCCATGGAAATCTGCCTGGTGTCCATCAGGGTATGAGGGCACCATTCTCCATCATCACCCCAACACGAGCCAAAGGCTGGGATTCATTCATTTATGTAGGATTCATCCCTGTGGGATTCATTCCTGTGGGATTCATCCCTGTGGATTCATCCCTGTGGGATTCATTCCTGTGGATTCATTCCTGTGGATTCATCCCTGTGGGATTCATCTCTATGGGACTCTCCTGGAATAGCATCAGGCAATGGGAATAATCACTTTACACAGGATTTATCCTTTCAGTCATGAATGACCCAGAGCTCTTTGAGGCCCAAACTGAAGCCACAACTCATTTCCATCCACTTAATTCCAGCAAAATCCACGTTATTGCTCTGCCACGCTCTGCATCCCTGCCTTGCTGCTCAGTCCCAGGCCATGCTGAGCCCAAACTCCTTTGGGGTAAATCATCACATCAAGGAACTAAACTCTCCTTGGCAATTCCATCCCAGATTTATCCTCGTGTCACTGGGAGAGGATTTAGCCCTCCCTGATTTATTCCCCTGTAAAACCGAGGTGCAGGGGGAGCGGGGTTTGCAGCTTGTTCCGGGCTCTGATGGAAGACAGGGCTGCCCAAAGAGAGGCATAATCCCAAGAATTCTTATTTATGGGCTCAGAGTGTGAGGGAGGAGGGCTGGGAGATGGCAGCTCCAATAAACAGCACATCCCTTCTCCCAAACATCTGCCTCGTAAAAGCACAAAATCAGATGTTGTCCCGGAATGCTGCTGGCTGCTCCCAGTGACACGGACAGAGCACAGCTCTCCTGACCCCTTCCAACATTTCCTCTGCCCTGGGAGATGAATTCCTCAAGGTTCACAAGGCAAAGCTTAATTTTCAAAACAGAAGCTGGCTGAGGAAACCTCACAGCCTCTGGTGCTGCCTGCTCACCTGTGGGAATCCTGGGTTCAGCAGGATGGATCAGCCACATCCCACAAAGCACAGCCCTGTTAACAACTGGAATTCACTGCTTCACATTCCCTTCTTTTGGTTCAGGAGAGTCCTAGGGGAGGTGGAAGCCTGATGATGATGTTTTTGGTCATTAGTCCTAATTAATCCCAGGCTCGAGGACAGCCCTTCCACAGGGTGAAGAGCTGATCAGAAAGTCAAAATTCCCTTTCCAGTCAATGGGAAGGGATTGCTGCAAACAGAGTCACTGCATGGGACATTTCCCATGGGGTCAAGGAGAGGGTGAAGAGGAAAAAAAATTCCCTGTGGGTTGTGTTAGTGCTTTGCACTAAGTGGTTTTGCAAATCAGCAGGAACAGTGGAGACAGGACACAGGGAATGGCTTCAAACTGAAAGGGAGAAGGGTTAGATGGGATATTGGGCAGGAATTGTTCCCTGGGAGGGTGGGCAGGGCTGACACAGGGTGCCCAGAGCAGCTGTGGCTGCCCCTGGATCCCTGGCAGTGCCCAAGGCCAGGCTGGACAATGGGGCTTGGAGCAGCCTGGGATAGTGCAAGGTGTCCCTGCCATGGCAGGGGGTGGAATGAGATAATTTTTAAGGTCCCTTCCAACCCAGATCATTGTGGGATTCTGTGATCCCACAAATTTTATATTTTCTCCACTCGGTTTGAACCCTGTGGAAATCTCCACGGGAGCTGGATGTCCATGGAAATGCAGCTCCCTGCAAGGCAGCTGAGCAGCTCCTCCCCGAGCAATCCAAGGATTCAGGGTGGAATGAGGGCAGAGCAAGACAGAATTTCCTGCTCCAGCCCTCCAGGAACCAGGAAAATCTGCCAGCCTTGCCCTGCACAGTCTGGAGCTCAGCAGGGCTCTCACAACCCAGCCCAGCCTGGCACAGCTCCTCTCCAGACTCTCCCCCCTTTCCTTTCCTGCCTCTCCAACCTCTCCTTGGAAACTCCTGCTATTTTATCCTGTTTCTGCAACCTGTCATCCCCCATTTGCCAACAGCTCCTCCTGGAACATTTAAACAGCATCTGCTGCAAGTGCAAGGTGTGAGAGGAATCCTGGGGGCACAGCAACAGGAGAGGAGCCATCAGGTGCTTCTGCACAGCTCAGGGGAAAATTAAAAACTGTGAAAGCCTGATAAGAAACCAAGGTGTAACACAAAAAAACAGCCCAGAGTGTCCCAATCCCAGATTTAGTCTGGTTTATGATCATTTTTACCTAGGAAAATAAAATTTCCATCTCGTCCCTTCCAGTTTGCTGTGCCAAGCCTGGGCTTTTGATCCCAGGGACACAAATTCCCAGTTAGTTTTTAGCACATGTGCAGCTTTCCCCACGGGCCAGGCACCAAATCAACTCCACATCTCCACGTGCTGGCCGTGGTGTCAAACTTCTCTGAAGATCCAAGGGCTCTGTGCCCTGAACCCCCAGCTGAAGGATGTCCCAGCACTGGGATCTCACTCCAATCTACCTGAGTGAAATCCCTGCCTCCTACACGGCTGCAGTTCCATTCCTAAACCCCAAACCTGGATTTTCATCTCCTTTGCTGAGAAATAATGTCCCCATCAAATGATGGCCTTGAAGGACTTCTTTTTTTTTTTCCAGGCAGAAGATCATCCAAGTACCTCTGGAAAGCAGCCAGGAT